ATTTTGAACTTGAGATGTCATTTGTTTGTTCTCAAGATAATGTGAAACACTTTACTATTGTTAAGCAGATGTTAATATTTTAAGAATAAGAGAATACCGACTGACTCAAGGAAAATGTTCGTCAAGATGATATGTTAGTGGAACAGTTATCTGTTCAATAGACACATACTGCTTCTATATCTGAGTGTTCCAAAACCAGTGCTCGACACATGCCACACTCAAGTATTCGATGTGGCTCTTGAAACATGTCAGGGGGACTGAAGAACTGATTGAAATAGTAAAACTAGTGCTACTTATTGACAGCAGTATCTAATAACCTAATACCTCACATTTTATTTAAAATTGTTTAGGAATCAATACGCAGTTTATATAGAAGCATTCATTACACAATAATATACTTATTATGACCATTGCTGGTGGTGTTTGCTTTCTGAGTCCTGGGTTGGTTGTGACCCACCCAGAAACTGTGACAATGGTTTGTAAAAGCAGATATTTGTATGATTGGCAGCAAATAAAGTTAGCAATGGTAATTCATGTTTGTGGGTAGTGGTAAGCTAGAAATTAGTCAAGTCCCAGTAGTTTTGAGAGAAGTGGTTCTTTTTACTTGGGAGGATGGCTTGGAAAGTCATTCCTGGAGAACAGCTGCAGGACCAGGGCATTTCACATGATAAAGGTGGTTTTAGCAAAACAGGAAGGTTAAGACTTTATTGAGCATGTGTTGAGTTGTGGGGGTGAGATGCAGCTAGAAAATGGGGTTGTATGCCTGTAATTCTAGCTACTTAAGAGGCAGAGATAAGGAGGTTTGAGGTTCAAAGCCACTCTGGGCATACAGTTTGTGAGACCCTATGTTGAAAAAAACCCCATCACAAAAAGGACTGGTGGAATGGCTCAAGGTGTAGGCCCTGAGTTCAAATGCCAGTACTGGAAAAAAAAATGGGGTTGGGTTAGAATGGGATGTGAGAAGCCCTAGGATCCATATTAAGAGATGTGTGCTTTATTGGTGATTGGTTTTGTTTGGAAAGTAGTTAGAAGCAAAACAGCTTCAGAGTTATTGTGGTACAATAGAGAATTAGCTATTCAAAAGGACTTACAAGGAAGTTGGGAACTTAATGTCTCAGAGTTAGTAAGTTTGGCTTTTTTTTTTTTCGGTACTGGGGCTTGAACTCAGGGCCTATACCTCAAGCCACTTCACTAGCCCTATTTTGTGAAGGGTTTTTTCGAGATAGGGTCTCATGAACTATTTGCCCCACCTGGCTTCAAACCGTGTTCTTCCTGATCTCTGTCTCCTGAATAGCTAGGATTACAGGCGTGAGCCACTGGGCCCAGCCAGAGCTAGTAAATTCTGAGATGAAAATTTGAAAAAAAAGGGCTGCAGGAAAATTTGAAGATGAATAACATTGCTTTATTTTGAGATTGAGGTTTTGGTGGGATACCTTAGAAATTCCAATCTGGAGGTTTGTGGAAAGATGTAGGCCAAGGTTAGGCAGCCTTTTCTTTTCAAAGTGCGTTCTTCAAGGGCAATATAGTATGGGCTGTAATAGGAGAGACATTTAAGTGGTACTGAGAAGATTTTTTTTAAATTATTGTACTTGGATACATTTTGATACTTACAAAAGTTCTTACAATATATCATAGTTGGATTCACCCCCTCCATCATTTTCCTATATCCCCTCTTCCCTCCCATTCCTGTTGAATAGTTTCCCATGTTGAATAGTTTCAACATGTCTAATTTTTCCATTAGGGTTGTTTATTTTAGTAAATTGTGGCATATTTGCAGAAGGCTAAGTTTGATACATGTGCTTTTGAGAGGGTTACTCCCAACACTTTATAGGCCTAAAGAGCTTAGGATTCAGAGAAAGTCTCATTAGGTTATACTATATCATTCCTGCTACTCCCCTCAACTCATACCATGCACAGATGCCTATAACTCTGAAAGACTGGTTTTCTTTTTTTTGGTGGGACTGGATTTGCTGTTGCAAAGCAGGCGATCTGCTTGAGCCACACCTCAAGTTCATTTCGCTCTGGTTATTTTGAAGCTGGGGTCTTGGAAGCTATTTGCCTGGGCTGGCCTCAAACCGTGATCCTCCTGACCGTAGCCTCCCAACTAGCTAGAATTACAGATATGAGCAACTGGTCCCCAGCTGGAAAACAGGCTTTATATGATTCTTGACCCATTGCTAGAAAGGGTTACTGAGATCCAGAGAGGCCTGGCATTCTGCCAGTTTGCACAGGCCTAGTAAGTTTAATTCAGATAATTCTGAATAGGTCATTTACCATAGTCAGATTCGGACTAAAGCAGTAAGGCTCCAAGGCTCTTACTCATTTTCTTTTTTTGTGGGTGCTGTGAACTTTACTGATGGTATTGACAAAATAGGTTTCTAAGTACCTTCTCTTTTTATAGGGGGTTTGGGATGGAAACTGAGGAGGGGAGAGTCAGTATATTGGGGAACTGAACGTGGAGGGACTCCCTTGCAGCTGAGGGCCTCCTTCTTGCTGGGATGGGTGGTCCAGAGACTCTTATTCCTTGGAGGCCATGTGGACTGTAATGTCCACTACCCTGTTATGTCATTGTCTTTCCCAGAAATGAGCTTGATAAAGTGGTAGTTGAGGGTAATGCCAGCCTCAGCATCAAAGGTGGGAGAGTGGGTATTGCTGTTAAAGTCACAGGAGACATCCTGGTTTTTGGTATAGCCCAGGATGTCATTTAGGAGGCCTTGAAATGTCTACTTCTCCACTTTTATTTATTTGTTTTTGGCAGCACTGGGGTTTGAACTCAGGGCCTTGCACTTGGTAGGCAGGTGTTCTACCACTTGAGTCGCTCTCTCCACCAGCCCTTTTTTGTGATGGGTTTTTTTTTGTTTTTTTTTTTTTTGAGATAAATTCTCACGAAGCCTTTGCCCAGGGCTGGCTTTGGACTGCAATCCTCCTGATCTCTGTCCTCCTGAGTAGCTAGGATTATAGGCTTCACCACCTTTTTGATGTCATCATATTGGTACTTTCTCAAGTGGCAGGTCAGACCCTCCACTGATGTGTTGGGGGTGGCCATGCCAGTGAGCTTCCCATTCAGCTCTGGGATGACCTTGCTCACAGCTTTGGCAGTGCCAGTGGAGGCCAGGATGATGTTTAGGTTAGCCCCATAACCATTACACAACAGTTTAACAGAAGGGCTGTCCGTAGTCTTCTGGGTGGCAGTGATGGCATGGGATGTGGTCATGAGTCCCTCCATGATGCCAAAGTTGTCATGAATGACCTTGGCCTGGGAGGCTAAGCAGTTGTGCAAGAGCCAACGATCTTCTGGGAGTTGTCATACTTGTAATGGTTCATACTCATCACAGACATTGGGGGAGCAGCAGAAGGGGCAGAGATTATGATTCCTTTGGCTCCACCCTTCAAGTGAGCCCAAGCCTTCTCCATGGTAGTAAAGACACCTGTGGACTTCATAACATACTCAGCACCAGCATCACCCCGTTTGCTGTTGGCGGGATGTTGTTCCTGGAAGATGGAAATGACCTTCCTGTTGATGACAAGCTTCCCGTTCTCAGCCTTCATTGTGCCATTGAACTTGTTATGGGTGGAGTCATACTGGAACATGTAGACCATGTAGTTGAGGTCAATGAGTGGGTCATTAATGGTGACTGTACCTACTTTGCCAGAGTTTAAAGCAGCTCTGGTGATCTGGTGCCCAGTACAATTGAATCCACTAACTCCGACCTTTACATCATGTCTCAGGGATGCAGCTGGCACTGCACTAGAAGATATGGCTGTCTGTTCAACAGTGAGGAGCACAGAGCCTCCAGAACACTTACTCATCTACTAGATTGGAAAAAGTAAGAGTTAAGGGAAGGTAGAGAAGATGACAGTTGCAGCGTAAAGAAAGTAAGGAGAAGCAGACGCTGGTGGCTCACACCTGTAATTCTAGCTACTGGGAGATTGATATTGGGAGGATCAAGATCAAGGCCAGCCTGGGTAAATAGTTATCTCCAAAATGGAGACCAAAATGATCTGGAGCTGTGACTCAGCAGTAGAGTGCCTGCTTTTTGCAAGCATGAAACCCTGAGTTCAAACCCCAGTCCCATGAGGGAGGGAAGGAGGGGAGGGGAAGAGAAAGAATGAAAACACACAGGGCACAGTTATATAGAGGGATTAAAATGAAAAAAAAATCCATGATAGTAAAAGCATCAACTCATAAACAACTGACTTTAAACTTAAGCAGTGTTTTTACCTTTAATCAGGTTTTAATTTGTTGCCTTCTAAAGCAGCAAACAGACCAATTCCATGTGAAATTGGTTAATTTAGAAGTGGGAATGAAGGTTCTTATCAGTAATTCTGAATCCTTGAAAGTTATTTCTAGAAGATTACTTTTTACTTACTCAGTAGGGTAAGAGTTGTTTTTAGGGTTTGTGTTTTTGGTGGTTATCCACTTTTTTTTTGAGACTGGGTCTCCATGTAGCCCGGGCTGCCTGGAACTTGCTTTCTAGCCCATTTTAAGACTCCATCTAGTGTTCCTCCCGCTTCAGCCTCCCTAGTGCTGAATTATAGGTTTGTACTACCATACCTGAAGTGGTATTTAAATTACAAATAACCAGGGCCTTGCACACTCTAGGCAGGTGCTCTGCCATGATCTATATCCCAGTCCCATGAACTGTTAAAACAAGAATGTTTAATTGATACTAATGAGAGAGTGTATGTTTTTACAGTGGGATTCTGAACACAAGACTTGAATTAGGATGGAAGAGACTGGCTTGTTCACTCTGTAGTATTCTAGACAAGTGGTTATCATACCAGACATGCACCAAGTTTTATATGGCAGGACTCGTTCTAAGAGGCAGCCCATTCCATGGACAGTTTTTATTCAATAGAAAAGGTCAAAATCATAAGACATAAAGTATACTATTAAAATATATGCTTTTCAGTGAGATTCAGAAAATCTTGCCTGCTGTGGTTTTGAATGTAATATTATAATGAAGTTTTGATTCTTAAATGTTTGTTTTATCTTCTAGGGCTTGTATTTCTTTTGGTCCTAAGAATCGTTCGATTGGAGGCAGCAGCTAAGAGCCAGGTAGAGTTTTTTTTTTCTTAAATTGACTTATTTCTCTGTTCCTTTGTTGTTCAGCAACTTGTATGTAGTACTGAAGGACTTAGGTACAGAACTGACAAGAGTCATAATCTGTGTTGTTCATGTACTGAGTGGGAAGCACAATGGTGTATACATAAACAAGTAACAGTGGTATAATATGTTTAATGAGACTTTAATGTAATTTTTGGGCAGTACTGGGCTTGAACTCAGGGCTTCACACTTGCTAGACTTTAACTAGGCAGGTGCTTTATCACTTGAGCCACCCCACCAGCCCTTGTATGTATGTTTTTTAGTTACAATTTTTTTTAATTGAAATGCAAACTGCTTGTATGTATTTTGGCCCAGATTTTCTTTTTGGTTTTGGAGACAATCTCTTTGTGGGCCAAGCTGGTCTCAATCTCACAATTTTCCTGCCTCAGCCTTTTTTTTTCTCCTCCTTCTTTTCTTTTGGTACTGGGGTTTGAACTCAGGGCCTTTACCTTGCGCCACTTTACTACCCTTTTTTGTGATGGGTTTTTTTTTCGAGGGAGTGTCTCAGAACTATTTGCCTGGACTGGCTTCGAACTGCACTCCTCCAGATCTCTGCCTCTTGAGTAGCTAGGATTACTGGAGTGAGCCACCAGTGCCTGGCTTTGCCTCAGCCTTAATCAAATTTCTCACATAAGAATATTTGATTTTTTTTCTTTTTTTAAATGCAGTGCTGGGATTTGAACTCTGCCTTGTGCTTGCAAGGCAGGTGCTGTTTCATTTGAGCCAGTTCTCCAGCCATCAAGGAAGTATATTAAAAGACTTGGCATGGGGTTGGGGATTTAGCTCAGTGGAAGAGTGCTTGCCTGGCAAGTGTAAGGCCCTGAGTTTGGTCCCCAGCACCAAAAAAAAAAAAAAAAAAAAGACTTGGCATTAGTTTTCCCTTCTGTTGTTTTTTTGGAGCAACATTTCATAATTGCTCATAATACAATCATATATGTGTTCTGTGTGAAAGCAACAGTAGCTGCCAATCTAAAAGTTTAGTTAGAAGGTTGAGAATGTTGCTGAATGTTCCACTATAGAAAAGAAGTCTTTGTGATGTTGGGATTTGAACTCAAGGTTTCATGGTGGTAAAGCAGAAGCCATGACTCCAGCCTCTCCCTCCCTTTTAAAGTTTTCTTTGTAAACCAAGAACCTGAGATATGCTGTTGTTTTTTATTTTTGTTTATTTATTTTTTTGAGTAACCAGAGCAGCAAAACCTTAAGAATTCTGTTATCCTGGACGTCTGAGGTGTCTGTAACATTAGAATTGCATGTTTTATCTCATTACACACAGTCTGGAGCAATACAAAGTGACTGTCTCTGGACCAGGCAGGGCTTAAAATTTAAGCACTTAAGAAAAAGGTGCTTGGTCAGTTGGTTTTCAATTAAATTATTAAATTTGGAGTTTTGTATAAATTTGTGGTATCCTTTCTCCCCTCCTTTTCCCCCACCCCCCGCCAATTGGGGATTAAATTTAGGGTTTCATGCATATTAGGCAAGTATTCTATCACTTCAGCTATATATATCCCCTAGCCCTTTTTTTTTTTGTTTTTTTTGGTAGTATTGGGGTTTGAACTTAGGGCCTACATCTTAAATCACTCCACCAACCCTTTCTTGTCATGGGTTTTTTTGTTTGAGATAAAGTCTTGTGAACTATTTGCCCGGGTTGGCTTTGACCACGATCTTTCTCATCTCTGCCTTCTGAGTAGCTAGGATTACAATTGTGAGCCACTGGCTCCTGGCTTGCTTCTGTTTTTTGAGATAGGGTCTCAGCACTTTTTTGCGTAAGCCTGCCTTAGACTTGAGATCCTCCTGCCTCCCAAGTAGCTGGGCTTACAGATGTGTACCACTGTACTCATCTCCTTTATAGTCTTATTTGAGGAATGTTCAAAATATTTTAGGAGGGAATACAAAACAAATTTAGTGGTATTTTCAAGTGTCTTTTCTTTTAAAATTCCAGTGAATTCCCTTTTCTTTTTTTGGTGGTACAAGGGTTTAAACTCAGGGCCTCATACTTGCTAGGCAGGTGCTCTGCCAGCCTGTGTGTGTGTGTATGTAGGTGTAGTATTTTTGAGAGAGGGTCTTGTGAACTAGTTATTCAGGCTGGCTTTGAGCCATGATCCTTCTGATCTCTGCCTCCCAAGTAGCTGCAATTACAGGTGTGAGCCACCAGTGCCCAACGCTAGTGAATTCTTGTTACAAATCCTGCTTTCATTATTGAGAACAGTTACTGTAGTAAACTGGCTGTCGTTTTCTAGTTCTAAGTTGACATTGGGATATAGAGTTTCTCTTTGGCAGTCTGCTCAAGCAGGGCTTGATTTTTGGAGGCCTCTTTTTCTTTTTTTAACAAATGGACTTCTTTGTGCCTCTTGCCATAGCTGATGCACAAGAGCTCTGTAGTGTAGTATACCTGCCAGGACTTCTTACATCTCCTGCATTGGGAGGGGATGCACAAGTTCATTCTGGAATTTTTTGAATGTCTTTGGCAATATTCCACACCCCCCATATGTTATAGTTTATTCTAGAGGATTTAGAAAATGTAAATGCAAAAGTGTCAGCCATTTGGAAATCACCTATTCATATTATATAGAAATCATTGTTGATATCTTTTTTTAATGATGGGAATTAAACCTAGGACCTTGCACATGCTGTTACTAAGGTATGTTTCCAGTCTCATTTTCTCTCTTTCTGTGTGTATGTGCATGCGTGTAGGCGGACGTGTGTATTTTTGGTGTTACAGGGGTTTGAAGTCAAGGCCTCACATTCTTAAGCAAGTACTCTTATCACTTGAGCCACATCCACAGTCCTTTTTGCTTTAGTTATTTTTGCCCGGGACAGGTATGGACCATAATCCTACTTGTGATCCTCTGTGTACCTGGGACCACAAGTGTGTATCACAGTGCCTGGCTTATTTGTTGAGATGGAGTCTCCCTAACTTTTTGTTGGGGCCAGCCTCTTAACCATGATCCTCTACCTCCTTTGTAGCTCCCACTGTTAGCATCTTAACGTATAACCTTTTATATTCTTTCTAAGGATATGAATGTGCTTTTTCCTCCCTAAATAATTGATGTTATGCACATAGAAATGTGTGAAGACACATTTCCTAAAGAGATTTTTCCCCTCCAGTATTGGGGATTGAACCCAGGACTTCCCACATGCCAGGCTCTACCATAGGGTTACACCCCTAGATTTCTACTTAAAAAATCTTATATGTATTTCATTGTATGGATATACCAGAATTTATTTCACTTTTTTATGTTATTACAGCAATGTGGAGGCTGTTTTCTGGCTGTAGTTATAAATAATATTCTCCTACTGTCATTCTGCATTCAATTTTGTGTATTTCATGTGATAATTTTTCTTTTTTGGAAATTTTTTTTTTTTTTGGCAATATTGGTGTTTGAACGCAGGCCTTCATGCTTGCTAGGCAGGCACTCTACCACTTGAGCCACCCCAACAGCCCTGTTTTGTGTTGGGTTTTTTTCATGATAGTGTCTCACCAACTGTTTGCTTGGGGCTGGCTCTGAACCTTGATCCTCCTGATCTCTGCCTCCTGCATAGCTAGGATTACAGGTGTGAGCCACCAGCTGCCTGCCGAAAGTTTAACTATAGTTTCTGAATTGATATGTATTGCTGAATTTGTTCATTTTATGCAAACAGGTATTCAGAGTTTAAGAACAGAATCTTTATTTTTGTGGTTCTGGGGATTGGCTCACGGCTTTGTGCTTACTAGACAGCTGCTCTACTGCTTGAGCCCTGTCCATAGTTTCTGGACTTCAGGGAGAAGTAGGAAGAACTAGGTTCTGGTTTTAACCTTGTTGAGGTACCGACGCACGTTACCTTGTTTGACCTTGACCTGACTTAACATGCTTCTGTACCTTTCAGAAAGAAAATGGAAACCAAGAAAGAAACTTTGTAAAGTTAGAATGATGCTAACTTAATGAGACTGTTGAAAATTAAAAGCAGTCTTTGTACTCTGATTCTTTCTCTTAGGTGATTTCCAATGCAAAGAACACAGTCCAAGGATTTAAAAGATTCCATGGACGAGCATTCTCTGATCCGTTTGTGGAAGCAGAAAAATCTAATCTACCATATGATATTGTTCAGTTGTCCACTGGATTACAGGTATAAAGGTAAGGTTCTTAAGTAGTTCCTTATGATTAAAAAAGCAGTATATTTATCAGCTCAGTATAAGTTCTTTTCTGAGGCAAGTTGTTTTGTTTTTGTGGTATTGGGTTTTGAATTTAGGGCCCTAAGCTTGCTAGGCAAGTGCTCTGCCACTTGAGACATCCTTCCCAGACTTCTGATAAAAGTTGTAATTAAAACTGTTTAGCAAAAGCTTTTTGCTGGTAAAAACTGACATAAGTATTGCAAAAAGCTGATGGAGAAAACTAGAAGAGGATACAATAGGTTAAGTACAAGGGGCCGGGGAATTGACCAATAATTAAGCAAATAGCTAATAAATTGTGGTAAAAAGGCCACTGTTTAGGAAGGGGCTAAGTGAGGGGGTAGGTTCCCTAGGTTCTTCCCATCTTTATCATGAAATGAAGTGAGAAGTTGTTAGCTTCCAAGCCACGATCAGTCATGATTGGGCTATGGAGTACGGAGAAAGTGGCACATAAGTTGGGGCAGCAGAACATTTTCTATTCTGGGGAGTAAGGGAATGTGGGATGGTTATCCTGGGCACGTCTTAACAACATTTAAAGTTTATAACTCTTATCAAGGTTACAAACTTATCCAGGTTAAGGTTTTATTTTGAAATGTTTTTTTCTTTGAGACTTGTTGATCATTTATTCAACAAATATTTATTGTGGCTGTCTAGGTGCTGGGGTAAATCAGACAAAAACTATGTTCTCATATTATATTGTAACCTAATTGGGGAGGTGAGTAATACAGTGAACACTGTAAACAAGTAAAATGCATAATATGTCAAATGCAAAATAGTTTCCATTACCAGCCTTTTTATGGAGGGCAATGTGGGTTGTGGTTAGCTATACCAATTTTTTTTCTGCACAGGTTATTGTCTCAGTTTTGTTGTTTTGCATTGTGGTCCTCCATCTTTGAGTATTATGTTTGAAAAGTATGTTAAAAAGCTAAAAGTAACATTCAAGTCAATAATCGCTTGCAGAAAGCTTTCTTCAGTTCCCTCTTATTTTCCACAAATAATGTTGAGGCATTGTTCTGTTTTCTTGCAGGTGACTTACATGGAAGAAGAGCGGAATTTTACCACTGAGCAAGTAACTGCCATGCTTTTGTCCAAACTGAAAGAGACAGCAGAAAGTGTTCTTAAGAAGCCTGTTGTTGATTGTGTTGTTTCGGTGAGTTTGGTCCCCATACAGTTTTAGGGACTTGCATCAAGAACCAAAGAGAAGCTCGCAAAACCCTATCTTGAAAAAAACCCATCACCAAAAAAAGGGCTGATGGAGTGGCTTAAAGTGTAGGCTGAGTTCAAACCCCAGTACTGCCAAAAAAAAAAAAAAGAAGCAAAGAGAAGAAAACTATTACTAGCATGTAAAATTACTGTTTTTGTCTCAGGTCATAATGATTATTTTAAGAATTTTCTGAATTAGTCTCTCCCCACCCCTTTTTATTTTTTTGTTTTCGAGACGGGGTCTCGCTATGTGGCTTGGAACTCATGATCTTTCTACTTCAGCCTCCTCAGTGCTGGAATTGCAGTGCATTACAATGCCCTACAAACTAGTCTTAATTTTCTCAAATAGTCTTTTCTGCCTGTAGCTTTTGCTCAGGTCTCCCTCCCTCCCTGGCGGTACTGGTTGCTAGGCAGGTGATCTAGCACTTGAGCCACTCCACTAGCCCTGTTTTGTGTTGGGTGTTTTCAAGATAGGGTCTCTCAAACTATTTGCCTGGGCTGGCTTTGAACTGCAATCCTCCTTATCTCTGCCTCCCGAATAGCTAGGATTACAGGCATGAGTCACTGATAACATGGCTTCAGATCGCCTTCATTATTCTGCCTGTTCTTCAAGGCTCAGCTCAAATATCATTTCTTCAAGATTTTTCCTATCACCTAGCGTAGAACCTGGGAAGGCGAAGCCACTTGTTTGAATTAGTTGGATGCTATAAATGGCTATCTTTTTCTCCTCTTCTAATTGCTCTCTGTATCTAGTAATAAAAGGCAGCAGTAGTCTTTACCTTGTCTTTCTCATATCCATGTTTAAATGGAAGCCTAGTTACTTGGAGTCTTGTCCTTAGTAGAGTCCTTAGAGGCTATTGAAATATGGATGGCTATGTTGTCTCTGTCATTGACCTTCTGCCAGTGTTATCTGATACATTAGCTCTGCGGCCTGTCTTGTCTTAATGTTGGTACATTGATTGACAAAGCAAGAACTGGTTGGGTTTTTCACCCTTGAGTCCTTGGGTATCTGGTAAAGTGGCACTGACACTTGTCAGTAATACAATTATTTATAGCCACATTCTGGGGATGCAAAGAAAAATAAAAATGCTATACCAGGGGCCCAGATTCAGTGTCCCTGATGCCTCAGTGACTGATGTGGTAGGTTCTGTATTAGATGTTTCCTACTTTCTTCAGCTTTCCTAGATTTGTCCTCATTCATCTAGTGCCCTTAACTTGGATCCTGAATTAAGTTGAAGTGAAATATATAGAAAGTAGTAGAATGCCTGGGTAACTTTTTCTAATTTGGAGGATTAAATTAAAAGGTAATACATTAAGACTTCTATGGAGGGAGATCATCAAGATCACACCGAATTTTGGTGATTTGCTAGGAGAATTCATGGATTCAGCATATAGCAGTACTCATGCTAAGATTTACCTAAAGTGAAAGAGCACAATGCAAAACCAATAAAGGGAAAAGAAGCACACAAGGGAACTGTTGGAGGAAACTAGACACAAGCTTTCAAGAGTCAGACAGAATGTACTTAATCCCTTCATGTGTATCAGCATGTTTCAAGAGTCCTCCACTTGGGAAATTGTCTGAGTCTCATACTCCAGGGATTTGATTTTTCATCTTTAAATTTTCTTTCAAGAAAGGATATTACTATTTAGCCTAGGCTGGTGTCGAATTTGTGGTCCTCCTGCCTCAGCCTCTAGGCTGTTGGGTTTTACAGACATGAGTCACTACACCCAGCATTAGGAAACTGTTTATTAATCAAGTTCCTTGATGCCAAGCAAGGGCCAATACTGCAAGCAGACCTTTATAAAGATAGCAGTCTCTTGCTGTTATATATCAATAACTTATGCTCTTGTTACTGTGGTGTTTTGTATTGTATGTTGTTTAATGCAATATATGTCTGTATATTTGTCCTGATGGTACTTATTAATATTCTAACCTTTTCCTACTGGTTTTGGAATACTCCCTTGATTATATACAGAATAAATTACTGTAGGTATTTGAGGGTGTTCCTAGATTTTATTAAAATGAAGTTCACCATGCAGTAAGCTTTTAAATTATGTTGTAGGTTCCTTGTTTCTATACTGATGCAGAAAGGCGATCAGTGATGGATGCAACACAGATTGCTGGTCTTAATTGCCTTCGATTAATGAATGAAACTACTGCAGGTAAGAAGGAACTATAGAATTACTACTTTTTTGAATTGTTAAATCTTGAAGGTTGTGAAATTTTAAAACTTTGGAGAGTTGTTTGCGCTTTATTTGCTTGTAGGATTGGCATCCTTGCTTACTACCTGTTTCTCATGAAGAATTAATCTGACCAGTATTTTTTCTGTACCCTCATAGTATATACCTTGGTGTTTAGTCACTACTTGTTTGGAAAGAAACACACTGTAACAATGCTTTGGTTTCAAGGTTTTTTTGTCTGACTTGTGGGCTGATAGTCAGAAATGGAGCATAAAACAGCTTCTTGGCAAACAGATGTATGGGAATGTTAACATGACACAGGGTAGAAGACATTGAGGAAAGTATGAGAGTGGGGGACTTGGTTTGGGAAAATTGACAAAGTACATTTGAAATTGTAAGTAAGGAAGCCTGAGTCATTTAACCTATTTAACCCTTTGAAGTTAACATTTCTCATGAATAAATTGTAAGATGTTGCTTATAAGGAATTTGATTCTAAAACATTACATACGATGCAGTTCTATTTGTTATTTATAAAACCTGTTTTTTTCCTACTTAAATGAATTTTATTATGTAGATGGTACATTATGTTGAACTTACTTTTTTTTCCCCTGTACAGTTGCTCTTGCATACGGAATCTATAAGCAAGATCTTCCTGCCTTAGAAGAGAAGCCAAGAAATGTAGTTTTTGTAGACATGGGGCATTCTGCTTATCAAGTGTCTGTATGTGCATTTAATAGAGGAAAACTGAAAGTAAGTATTTTTTCCAGAAGATTGTGTTACAAGTATAATTACACATCTTTGAGAGACAAAGAATTTCTCCTTGAGGAGAAAGCTCTTAAGATCCCTGAGTCTTATTTTTCTCATCTCTGTTATGGAGAAAATAGTGGTTACCTTGCAGGCTTATTATAGGAGGAGTCTGTAACTTGTATTCCCTTGGTGTATTTTGCACTGGGGATTGAGGGAATGTAAAGGTCCTCTCCTTTTGCTCTTGAGATTTGTAGTGTTCTGAAAGAAGGGTGGGTGCAAAAAAACTTAACTAGGAGTGATAATACAGGTTTCTGGAATGGAATTGTAGAAGTGTTAAAAGCAAAGAGAATAGTGACAATTACCTTAGATTTTGCTCATTTTCTGGTTGTTCCATGCTAAAGTATAAAATCAGTTCTTTTTTCTCCCCTGGTACTGGGGCTTGAACTCAGGGCCTACACCTTGAGCTGCTCCACCAGCCCTTTTACGTGATGGGTTTTTTTCAAGTTAGGGGCTTGCGAACTATTTGCCCAGGCTGGCTTTGAACCACGATCCTCCTGATCTCTGCCTCCTGAGTAGCTAGCATTACAGGTGTGAGCCCCTTGCACCTGGCATAAAATCAGTTCTTTGTCTAGCTAGATGATTTTAATGTTTGCTTCAGTTATTTGAATTTTGCATTAAGGATTTTGTTGCCAAAATTTAAGCCCTCCCCTTCAATTGGGAATGGGGTAGGGACAAATGTGAAGTTAAAAAAAAAATTTGGACATTTTGAGAATTGGTTCTACTTTATATTCTGGTTTATCTTATTTCTAGCTTTTTTTAATCAGGCAAATCTTGGTTGAGAAATGAAAGGTTTGTGATGTTTACAGCTATAAATTGAATTACAGTTCTGTTTAGACTTTATTAATAGAATTATTTCTAAAATTTATTCTGTACTTTCACTTTTTTAAAAAAAGTTATGACATCATGGGGTTTGATGGGATTTGGACTGTGGATTGTACACTTGCTAGGCAGGCACTCGTCTGCTTGAGCTGTAGCTCCAACTTTGTACTTTAAACTTTTTTAAACAGAAGATTCTGGGTATAATTTATATTTAGCCTAGTTTGGATCAGTAATGTGGGTTAGTGACCATTTGTGTTTGATTTTCTAAATTGACCTTCACTGTTGTCTGACACCTCAGCTTTTCCATACCTTTTGATTGCCTTTATTTTATTTATTTATTGAGCAAAAGAGCAGAGATTTTATAAACAAAGAGGAAAAGAGAAAAGCCCCCATATAGGAGGGATCTCAGAAAGGCTGTGTCCTTGATTGCTTTTAAATTAAATTTTAAAATGTTCCTTATAAAGACACTTGCCAAATTTGAAAAACACATAAGTATAAAGAAAAGACATTGTTTATAATTTTGCCACTCTTTAGAAATTTGGTATATTCTAGCTTTTTAAGAAAAGAAGTGGATGCATACTATATTCTGTGTCCTAATTTTTTAAGTTCACGTTAAGAAAATTTCTTCATGATAAGTACATTGTTAGGAGATTTTGTTTACCTGTCTTCAGGTATTCAATCTATTTGATCTAGTTTGCTACTAATCTGCTACAGATTTGGAAAACAGAAAAAGTTTACTAGATTTCTGTTACATAGAAACAAAATTGTGGTTAATTAACTTCTGGAAATAAACTGATTGCTGTTCTTGGTATCAGTCACATCTTTGTGATAGTTAATAAGACTAGAAGTACCGGTGGAGTAGCTCAAGTGGTAGTGCCTGCCTAGCAAGCATGAAGCCTTGAGTTCAAACCCCAGAACCACCACCAAAAAAAAAAAAAAAGAAAATAAAGTATGTACGTGGTATATTAATTGTTTTTGGCCTTGAATATAATTGCTATTGGAAGTCACATGTGGGAAGTGCATGGATTTTAAAATCAGGATGTGGCTCCCCCTTCTTCTGTGAACTCAGGACCTCCCGCTTGCGAGGCAGAAGCCACTTGAGCCATGCTTCCAGCCCCTCAAGATACGGTTTTGAAATCTACTTCTACCACTTTAGTAACTTTGTGACTTGCAGATTATTTCACCTGTCTAGATTTGTGTCATAAACTGTAAATAAGAGATTAATGTCTGTTTTTCACCATGTACTTTTAGTAGGGATTGATTAAATGACAAATGAACATTGCCTTGTTTCAACCTCAATGTATACGCCCTTGCATCTTTCATTTTTTTAAACCACATAATTATTTATCGTGATAAAGTTTTAAATTGATTGGTTAACTGTTGGATTAATTATCTTCCTTTTTCCCCTAAGGTTTTGGCTACAGCATTTGACACAACACTGGGAGGCAGAAAATTTGATGAGGTGTTAGTAAATCACTTCTGTGAAGAATTTGGGAAGAAATATAAGCTAGATATAAAGTCTAAAATTCGTGCATTATTACGACTGTCGCAAGAGTGTGAGAAACTCAAGAAATTGATGAGTGCAAATGCTTCAGACCTACCTTTGAGCATTGAATGTTTTATGAATGATGTTGATGTATCTGGAACTATGAATAGGTAACCATATTAACACATCTGTTCATTTATTCATTCATTTATTTATGGCAGTGCTGGAGTTTGCACTTAGGGCTTTAGCTTGCCACCTTTTTGTTTTTTATTTTTGAGTAGGGTCCTGCTTTTATGCCTGGGCCAATCTGGACCAGTCTCTTCCTCCCAAGTAGCTAGAATTATAGGCACGAGCTGCTGGCCATATTAATATTTTTATGTTAAAGTGAATTGTCATTTCTTTTGCCACTTACATTAACCTTATTTAGATAATTATTGAAATCATTATGGATGTTAATAATGGTTGTATGGGTAAAAGTTAGAGTTTTGGGTGTTTTTTTGTATTTTTTGGTGGGACTGGAGTTTGAACTCAGGGCTTCACGCTTGCAAAGCAGGCATTCTACCACTGAGACACATCTGCAATCCATTTTGGCCTGGTCATTTTGGTGATGAGGTCTCAAAGTATTTGCCAGTTGGCCTTGAATCTTGGTCCTCCCAATCTCATCCTCCCATACAGTGAGGATGAGCTATGAGTCACTGGTACGGAGACCCTGCTTTTTATGTGAGGGCTGGATTTGATTTTTCTGATAATGAAGACCAATGTTTCTGTTCTCATTTGGCACATGTTGCAAGTAGTTAGTTCTGAATTTAATTTAACCATTGATTAAGAAATTGTTCTTTTGAGTGGTTCAGGATCACCAAAGGGCAATAGCACTGCAAGAATTCCGTATAGCACTGTAAGAATTCTGAGTAAATGATATATAGGACTATTCTCAGAAACACTCAGTATTATTGTTGCCTGAATTTGTTGCTAGGATGAAAAACTGAGATGTTCTTTTGGCTGTAAACTCTGTTGGTAGAACTCAGGCAAAACTGATGGTTTGTTTGGGGAAGTATGCCTGAGAGATCCTTAAATTATTTGAGATGGAGTTTATTGTTGACTGGTATCCAAGTTGGTTACTTGCCCTTTTCTCCTACTTGGAAGTAATGACTTTCATTTTTATTAATCTCTGTGTGTGTGGGTGTGGGTGTGTGTGTGTGATGGACTCTGGGAATAGACCGGTATGTTTTCCAGAAATTGTTAGTGAAATGTCATATCTTTATAATATGCAAGCAGATCTATATTAGGTAGTTTAGATTCTTTTTGAAAAATGCTTTGCCTGTGTACTCTTTTTATAAAAACAGGTTTTACATAATTAGAACAAGAGCTGTTATATTCTTTATAGCGGTCATTTAGACTTTTTATTAACTCTTTATTAGCCTATATTAATTATATGTAGGTTTCATTGCTGTATTTCCATACATGTACATATTGTACTTTGATCTCATTCACACCCCAAAATGTGAATGCTTCATGAATTTGTATATCATCCTTTCAAGAGGGCAATGCTAATCTTCTCTGTATTCCAAGTATGTGCTGCCAGAATGAACATGAGCCTTCATTTAGTCTTTAGTGTTCACTGCCAGTCTTTATTAATGAAACAAGACCATATCTGACATTACATTACATTAAATATTTCTTAATTAGCTTTTTTTCTTTTCTTTTTTTTTTTGGTGGTACTGGAGTTTAAACTCAGAGCTATGCTTCCAGTCCATTTTTGCAGATGCACACTATTTACCCGGCTTGTACTTGACCCATGATCCTCCTGATCTCAGCCTCCCAAGTAGTTTGGATTACCGGCGTGAACCATTGCTGCCTGGTTTTGTGCCTGTCTTTTTTATTTTTATTTTTTGGCAGCACTAGAGTTTGAACTCAGGGCCTCCCTCTTGCTAGGCAGGCACTCTATCACTTGAGCACTCTGCCAGCCCTAACTTCTTCTTTATATTTAAAAAAAAAAAATTGAGGTGAAATTCGCACACCATGTAACTGACCATAAATACCATTAAGTGGTATTTAGCAAATGCACAGTGTTGTGAAACAGCCATTTGTATATAGTAAAAAGACAAATTATTTTCATCCCAAAATAAAACCACATTCCACATAAGCATTTTCCATTCCTCCTTTCGTTTGTTTTTTTTTTTGGTGGTAGTACTGGGGTTTGAACTCATGACTTTGCACTTGCAAGGCAAGTTCTCTATTGCTTGAGCCATGCCTCCAGCCCTCGTTTGTTTTTTTAGGGTTTGAACTCAAGACCTCATGCTTCATTTGAACTCAAGGCCTCATGGCAGGCCACTCTACGATCCCTCATTCTGCTTTCTTTATGGATTTACCTCTTCTCAATTTTTTTTTTTTCTTTCTTGGGGGGCAGTTTTGAGGTTTGAACTCAGGGATTTGTGCTTGCTAGGCAGATATTCTACCACTTGAGCCATACCCCCTGGATATTTTGTATAAGTGGAATTAAATATTAAATAAGTTTTTGACATTTGTCCATATTTATGTATCATTACATTTTTGGGGGAGAGGGGCAACTAGTATTCAATTGTAAGGATATATCAAGTTTATCCATTCATCAGTTGATGGGCATTTGAGTTTTTCCTGCTTTTTAGCTATTTTGAACAGTGCTTTGAGAACATTTGTGAGCAAATACTTATTTTACTATCTGTTTTTAGTTCTTTTGAGTATATGCCTAAGAGTGGATTTGCTGCTCATGTGACTAATTCTGTGCTTTTTGAGAAATTGCCAAATTATTTTCTTTGGCAGTTACACTATTTTACACTTCCACCCACAATGTATAAGGATTCCACTTTTTTCACATTCTCAATACTTGTTCTTTGTTTTTTTTTTTTTTAATTATTGTCATCCCAGTGGGTTACGATTAGTTTTATGTTGTTCTTCATCATTTTGGCTTTTGGAAGGAACAGCACATGAGAACAGTGTTTAACTTTTTGCATGTTGAAGATAGTTTCTCATGTTTATACTTGAAAGGCACTTTAGCTGCATATATATAATGCATATATCTTTTTTTAAAGCGTGTGTGTGTGTGTGTGTGTATATATATATATTACATATCTTTTTTTTTTTTTGTGGCTCAGGGCCTACACCTTGAGCACTCTGCTAGCCCTTTTTTGTGTTGGGATTTTTCAAAAAAGGGTCTTTCAAACTATTTGCCGAGGCTGGCAGCTGTAATCTTCCTGATCTCTGCCTCTCCTAGTAGCTAGTGCCCAGCTTGTTTTTCATTCATGTATATGATCTGTTCTTTTTACTGAAGTAGTGTAACATTTTGAGAGTCATTTAGTTGTACATAGCATTCATTCCTTATTTTGTGATACTGAATACTATGCCAGTATAGACTGGTTTTCTATTGCTGGGCACTTGCTTTTTAAAACTCCTACAAAAGTGTAAAAATTCTGGTTGCAATTGCTGTTAGCAGTCTTTTTGTCATACTTCTACCAATTTTTATTTTATTGAGATGTAACTTATAAAAGTCTTTTTTGTTTTGTGATACTGGGGTTTGAACTGAGGGCTTTGTGCTCGCTAGGCAGGTGGTCTAACACTTGAACCACACCTGCAGCCCATTTTGCTCTGGTTATTTTGCAGATGGGGTCTCACAAACTGTTTGCTTGAATTGCAATCCTCCTGATATCAGCCTCCCAAGTAGTTAGGATTACAGGCATGAGCCACTAGTGCCTGGCTGTTTCCACCTTTTGGCTATTAAGAATGATGCTGCTGCTTGTGAACATTCATGTGCATGTTTTTGCATGAGTTTGTGTCTTTCGGTTCTTTTAGGTATATAGAGTGGAATTGCTGAGTCATATAACTCTTACGTTTTAACATTTTGAGGAAATGTCAAACTCTTTGTTTTCATTTTCATTTTATATTACCAAGGAATGTATGAGGGGTCCAGTTTTCCACTTCCATGCCAACACTTTGTTTTTGATTATAGTCATTCATTCTGCATTGAAGTGGAATGTGATTTAACTTGTTTTTTTAATAGAGGCAAATTTCTGGAAATGTGTGATGATCTCTTAGCTAGAGTGGAGCCACCACTTCGTAGTGTCTTGGAACAAGCCAGTAAGTATTTTCATGATTTGTGTATCTCATACTAAAAGTGTTGTTTATCCTTTCTCCCCCATCCCAAGCAGTTATACAAATATTTGTTGTTTGAACTCCTTCAGTTCCATATTTCTCCCTGGGGTGCCTCTCTTCCCCGAAAGCAATCTTTTGATAAGTATGCAGGGAAATCTAAGAAGTTTCTCCAAAAACCTAACTTAGAATCAAAGGTGGATAACACCTTTTCAGTTATTTGGAGAAGTTGTCTTCTGCAATGGTGGTGTGGTAGTCTTAAAAGCTTTTGTCAGTGAGTTGTTGGTTAGCTGAAAGATAGAGCAAAAGAAAGATATGATAGCCACATAATGTCACAGAATGTTTTAATTTTGTCTCAGGCTAAAAGGTAGCAGTTTAATTTCAGAATACATTACTAACTTTCCTAAAACCTTTTTGGACAATGTTTACCTGTTGTGTTGGTTGCAGACTATTTTAGAGTGTTGAGATAGTGTTAGCTAACATTGTCTTGTGTCTTAAATCAAAGTGATTAATTATGACAGATGAGCATGTTCTTCTTTCCACACTGGATAGTTCCTTCACTCCCACCCTATTTTGTTTCTTTTTTTTTTTTTTTCTTTTTGAGAGAGTCTTGCTGTGTTGCTCAGGCTAGCCTGGATTTTGTAAACTCAAGCACTGCTCCTTCCTCAGCCTCCTGAATAGCTGGGATTACAGACACACAACACTGTGCCTGGCTATAGCGATTTTTAAAAACTAAGTTGTCTCAAGAAGTAGTCAGTGATTGTTAAATAAAATGTAACTAGGAAACGAGGTGGTATTAAGTATTTATCAGAAGGAAAGAAATAATAAACATAAAGGCCAAAATCAATGAAATAGAAATGAAAAACCATATAAAGAATCAATGAAACAAAAAGCTGGTTCTTTGAAAAAATAAGTAAGATTGATGGACCCCTGGCAAACTAAACTAAAATGAGAAAAGAAAAAACCCAAATCAGTAAAATCAGAAATGCAAAAGGGGACATAACAAAAATCACTGAATTCCAGAAATCATCAGAGACTACTTTGAGAACCTATATTCTATAAATTTGAAAATCTTGAAGAAATGGACAGACTTCTAGATACCAACGACCATCCAAAATTCAACCAAGAGGATATTAATCACTTGAATAGATCTATAACGCAAAATGAAATTGAAGCAGCAATTAAGAGTCTCTCAAAAAAGAAAAGTCCAGGACCTGATGGATTCTGTGCTGAATTCTATTAGACTTTTAAAGAAGAACTAATACCAACCCTCCTTAAACAGTTCCACAAAATAGAAGAGAAGGGACACTGCGTTAACTTATTTTATGAAGCCAGTATTACTCTCATCCCAAAACCAGACAAAGACACCTCCAAAAAGGAGAACTATAGGCTAATTTCCTTAATGAACATCGATGCAAAAATCCTCAATAAAATAATGGCAAACCGAATCCAACAACACACCAGAAAGATCATCCACCATGACCAAATCGGCTTCATCCCAGGGATGCATGGGTGGTTCAACATACGCAAATCTACACATGTAATACAGCACATTAATAGAAGCAAATACAAAAACCACTTGATCATCTCAATAGATGCAGAAAAATATCCAACACCACTTCATGATAAGAAAACTAGAAATAGAAGGAACGTACCTCAATATTGTAAAGGCTATATATAATAAACCTGCAGCCAACATCATATTTAACAGTGAAAAACTGAAACCATTTCCCCTAAAATCAGTAGTGAGACAAAGGTGCCCACTATCCCCACTCTTATTCAACACAGTACTGGCATTCCTAGTCAGATCAATTAGGCAAGAAGAAGAAATAAAAGGAATACAAATAGGTAAAGAAATTGTCAAAATATCCCTATTTGCAGATGATATGATCCTACACCTTAAAGACCCAAAAATCTCTACCCAAAAACTCCTAGACACCATAAACAGCTATAGCAAGATGGCAGGATATAAAATCAAGTTACAAAAATCATTAGCTTTTCTATACACCAACAATGAACAAACTGAGAAGGAATATATGAAAATTCCATTTACAATAGCCTCAAAAAAAAATCAAATACCTAGGAGTAAACTTAACAAAGGATGTGAATGATTTCTACAAGGAGAACTACAAACTCCTGAAGAAAGAGATCGAGGAAGACTACAGAAGGTGGAGAGCTCTTCCGTGCTCATGGATTGGTAGAATCAACATAGTAAAAATGGCTGTACTAACAAAAGCAGTCTATATGTTTAATGCAATTCCCATCAGAATCCCAATGACATTCATCACAAAAATCTCCCCTAAAGTTCATTTGGAAACACAAGAGACCACAAATAGTCAAGGCAATACTCAACAAAAAGAGCAATACTGGAGGTATCACTATACCCAACTTCAAACTCTATTACAAACCAATAGGAATAAAAACAGCATGGTACTGGCACAAGAACAGACATGAAGACCAGTGGAAGAGAATAGAGGACCCGGATATGAATCCACACAGCTATGCCCACCTTAGTTTTGACAAAGGTGCCAAAAATATATGATGGAGGAAAGACAGCCTCTTCAACAAAAACTGCTGGGAAAACTGGTTAGCAGTCTGCAAAAAACTGAAGCTAGATCCATGTATATCAACCTACACCAATATTAACTCAAAATGGATCAAGGATCTTAATATCAGACCCCAAACTCTAAAGTTGATACAGGAAAGAGTAGGAAATACTCTGGAATTAATAGGTGTAGGCAAGAACTTTCTCAATGGAACCCTAGCAGCTCAGCAACTAAGAGATAGCATAGATAAATGGGACTTCATAAAACTAAAAAGCTTCTGCTCAACAAAAGAAATGATCTCTCAGCTGAAGAGACCACCCACAGAGTGGGAGAAAATATTTGCAAGCTACACATCAGACAAAGGACTAATAACCAGAATATATAGGGAACTTAAAAAACTATATTCTCCCAAAATTAATGAACCAATAAAGAAATGGGCAAGTGAACTAAACAGAACTTTCTCAAAAGAAGAAATTCAAATGGCCAAGAAAACACATGAAAAAATGCTCACCATCTCTTAGCAATAAAGGGCATATATTCCTAGGTGACATTTCCCAGATTCCACTATTGTCATGTCATTCTCCCTTCACGCATCGTTTTGAGAATCAAAACACCGTGTTTGTTTCCAGATGCCACTCTGTGAGGTATATATGTCTGCAGGGAATTAGGAAGAGAGGGGTTTTTGTTGTAGTCTGTGAGTTATGGTAAGATCTTAGTACTCTTTTATTTGACTCTAAAACTAAAGATTCTGTTAATCTTAATGTCTTGTTTTAACATAGAATTAAAGAAAGAAGATATATATGCAGTAGAGATAGTTGGTGGTGCTACACGAATCCCTGCAGTGAAAGAGAAGATAAGCAAATTTTTTGGTAAAGAACTTAGTACAACATTAAATGCTGATGAAGCTGTTACTCGAGGCTGTGCATTGCAGGTGAGTTTTCTTTTGTTCATAGGTCATTATAATAAGATGATAGTGGTTTATATATTTACCTAATAGTCTGAGTTTAGCTCAGGTTGTCACAGGGTATAAAATTCTGAAGCCTTTGTTTTAAAATGGAAAGCAGCTGTTTACAAAAGAATTGTAACCTGTAACACATAGTAAGATGAATTCATCAACTAGAAACTAGGTAACTCTTTAAGCTTAAAATTCTACTAGAATTTGGCACATTATCTGTCTATAGATAAAGTAGTGTTGTACATCAGTTAAGGCTTAGGGTTAGCAGAAAAATGATAAAAAGCTAGGTCATATAGGTAATTTGGCAACAATAGAAGTTTATAGAAATGCTCGTTCAGACACCATTAAAATAATGGAAATATCTAGTGATTATTCACACACACACACACACACACACACACCCGTTTTGGGGGAGGATTAGGGTTTGAACTCTGGGCCTTGAACTTGTTAGGCAGGTGCTCTACCACTTGAGCCTTGTCCCCAGACCTTTATGTTGTAGTTAATTTTCAAATAGGGTCTCATGTTTTTTGCCTGGCTGGCCTGGAATGTAATCCTTCTAGTTATGCTTCTTAGTTACAGTTCCCACATAGCTGTGTTGACAGGCTTGTGCCACATACCCTGATTTTTTTTGTTGTTGAGATGGGGTTTCACTACCTTTTTGCCTGGGCGGCCCTCAAGCCACCATCCTTCACATCTCTGCTTCCTGAGTAACTTGAGATTATAGATCACCTGGCAAGTAATGGTCTGATTTGTAGGTCTGGTGATACTCGTTCATAGTGTCTCTATACTTATCAAATGGATTTTTAAAAAATTATCATTCTAGTGTGCAATCTTGTCGCCTGCTTTCAAAGTCAGAGAATTTTCTATTACTGATGTGGTAGCATATCCCATATCTCTGAGATGGAATTCTCCAGCTGAAGAAGGGTCAAGGTAATAAAACACTTACTAATCATATTTATACTTAGTTAAATCAGTTAAGTTTGATTGTACTGCCTTCTAGTTCAGCTTAAACCGATCTGTAAAAATTTCTCAGTGTGTGAAACAGTGATCAGTCATTATAGTCAGAATAAGTTTCCTGTGTTTGATCCTTCTGAAATCACTGGTGCTTTCAGTGGCTGTTTGGGTACATTCCTTTTTTATTATGTCTGTCTCTGTCTCATTCATATTCTCTCTCCTTTCCTTTCTCCTCCCTCCTTCCCCCAACCTTGTAACTAGAAATTATGTCAATGAGAAAAGAGAAAACTAGGACTATACAATGATTACAAGCCTAGAATACATGGGTCAAAGTGTTAGAGATACTTGAATTTATGGAATTTATGTGTTTTTGTCTTTTTCCATTCAGTGACTGTGAAGTCTTCTCAAAAAATCATGCTGCTCCTTTCTCTAAAGTCCTCACATTTTATAGAAAGGAACCTTTCACTCTTGAGGCCTATTATAGCTCTCCTCAGGATTTGCCCTATCCAGATCCTGCTATAGGTAAGCAGAGATTGATAGTAAAATAATAACAAAACCTTGTGTCTACATTGAAAACTGTGATAGCAGAAAGAAAAAATGCAATGTTTATGGCACATGAGGTCACAACAGAAAAGTCTTTTCTAGTCTTATTGCCAGGTTCAGAACCAGACAGTTTATATTTAACTGACTCTTCCGTATTGCAGGCAGTATTTCTCAGTATGGCTATACCTTGTGCAGTAGGTGGTGGTGGACATAGAGTGTAGAAGAGTTAAATTCATTTCTGACCCTAACATAGAGTTACAAGATGTGCACAGAAAATCATTAGCAGATTATTATACATCAGTATAATATTCTAGAGTTTGGAACCATTTTGACTAGAGTCTTTATATGTATAGGATTTGGGAATTCTTATAATCTGGAAGTAATAACCAATTTAGAAGAGAAAGAAGCTAGAGTTGTGTAATACAGGTCTGTACTAACTGGGTTAAAGTATTAGGAGTATCCTCAATGGCATGCAAAAGCTGTGGAAAGTTAACAACTCTGCTCTCTCATTTGTAAATAGGTATAGGAATGCTAATTCAATTGCAGTATTGTGGGAATTAGAAATAAGTAAACCTTGGTATAGTAACTAGATCTAGAAATGGCAGTTTCTTGATAAATGACAAAATTAGAAAGCAATCATAGCCTTTTGTTTCTTTTTGTAAAGTAGAGAACGTGATAAATCTGTATTTTAAGAAATTTAATCTGGTAGTAGTACATAAAGATGAATTAAGGTACTGAGGGAAAAGGAAAAAGAGATAAGTGAGCCCTTTGTTACAGGATAGTAAAAGCTTGAGTGTAGGTGAAAGGAAGAAGAAATATGATTTAGTAAGAGTCTAAGAGTACTCACTTTGCTGTGTTACTGATATTTGGTACTGGGGATTGGGCCCAGGGCCTATGCATTCTTGGCAAGTGCTCTTTCACTTTGAGCCATGCCCTCAGTCCCTAGTTACTGATTTTTCATTGAGAAATGAACGTAGCCTGGCAGTGCTGGCATGTATTTGTGTTTGAACTCATCATGTAAGTGTTTTCTTGTCTCTCATATGTCCCTAGCTCAGTTTTCAGTTCAGAAAGTCACTCCCCAGTCTGATGGCTCCAGTTCAAAAGTGAAAGTCAAGGTTCGAGTAAACGTCCATGGCATTTTCAGTGTGTCCAGTGCATCCCTAGTGGAAGTGCACAAATCTGAGGAAAATGAGGAACCAATGGAAACAGATCAAAATGCAAAGGAGGAAGAGGTAATCTGGACATTTTGTACTATTTATCAAGGCCTGGAGGTGACTTGTCTAAAAATTGTAAAGCTGCTGAGAGTAGGCTTGCACATGTCTAGTTTCCCCAATATATGTGAAACTATGTTTACACAGAATTTGTATGGAAATGGAGCATAAAATGGCTCCTCTCTTCAGAACATGCATTTCTCAATGAGTTATTTTTGATTCTTTGTGGTTATAAGAGAGTGCTCTTGAGTCGTTCTATTATTTTTCACAAGTAGAATAGGGTATGTACCTGTTTGCATGAGTCTTAGTCTCTTTGTGCACCATATTCAAAGCAGTTATAAAACTATAAATGCTTTGATCTCATCCGAGAGATTTTGTTTGAGGTGTTAAGAGAAATTTCAGTGAGTTTACCTCCTTCATGTAAAAAGTGGTTTTAATTTTGAAGGTGAAAAGGCTGATGTAGGAATTGCTTGAAAAAGTTCACATTTTTAAATTTCTTTTTTGCGGTACTGGGAATTGAATTCAGGGCCTCACAATTGCTAGGCAAGCACTCTACCACTTGCTAGACAAGTCTCTAGCCTAAAAAAGACTTTTGAGAGACGTCTACTTGTGAGGAAGCTTGGAGAAATTCATGAGCTCTTCAGATTGTATTTTGTAGATTGTGTTAAATGATGCCACATTGTATACTTTGAGTACTTCATAGTTTACAGAGAATTTCCATAATCACTCTCTTTTATACAAGGGCAGGGCAAGACAAGTATTATCCCTATTGTACAGATCCAGAGAGGAAAACTTTTATGTTCCTGGTAACATGTTCAATGGCTGATTCTGATTGCTGATAATTAATTCACAGGAATTCCCTACCACATGACTTTGTCAGTGTGTCATGGTGGCTGCATTGTCTTTCATTAGTATTTCCCATTTTGAAGATTTAATTTGACCTGTTTTTCAGAAGATGCAAGTGGACCAGGAGGAACCACATGTTGAAGAGCAACAACAGCAGACACAAGCAGAAAACAAGGCAGAGTCTGAAGAAATGGAGGTACAAGTTGTTATGAATTTCAGTCTCCTCACATATAACAGACTCTTGGTGTCTGCAGGTATATGGTTCCCAGAAGACTGTTCCTGAGGAAAAACTATGAATGCGTAGGATGCATAGAGTTCAGTACTTGTACAGGGGATGCTTGGTTTCATTTTTTTCGTAATGCTACTGGACTTCCACTAAAGACATGCCACCTTTCTAAAATTGTCCCTTTATCACTTAAGCACATTGTGTGTGTCCTTTTTTGGCTTAGAAGGATCACTATAACTTGCTTTTTGGGCACCATTAACTTTTGGGTAGGCATGTTTTCACAAAATTAAGGGGAGGGACAGAATTGATGATATCATAAAACACACTTGAGAGCTCTGTATCAACTGAGCTATGTAATGTACATGTTGGAATTTAAAATATTTTTGAAATTTCTTTTAATACTTAAAATTTATTATACACACACACACACACACACACACACACAAATATTTTTAACCATGCTTTGTTAAAACTGTGTAAAAAATCCATGCTGGGTGCCAGAGGCTCATGCCTGTAATCTTAGCTACTCAAGAGGCGCAGAGATCAGGAGGATTGCAGTTTGAAGCCAACCCGGACAAATATATTGCTCCTGAGACCCTATCTCAGGGGAAAAGAAAACCAAACCAAAAACCTGTCACAAAAATAGGGTTGGTGGAGTGGCCCAAGGTGAAGGCGCTGAGTTCATACTCCAGTACCAGGGGGAAAAAAAAAACTGAATAAGGCGGGCTTATTGTACAGAGTTTTGGCTGAGAAACTTTCTTGGTACTAATTATACTGTATTATTTGAACAATTTTTTTGGTGGTGGGGGCAGCATTGGGGTTTGAACTTGGGGCCTCATGCTTGGTAGGCAGGTGCTCTACCACTTGGGTCACTCCAACATCCCTTTTTGTGATGGTTTTTTGGAGATAGGGTCTCAAGAACTATTTGCCTGAGGCTGGCTTTGAACCATGATTCTCCTGATCTGTGCCTCCTGAGTTGCTAGGATTGCAGGTGTGAGCCACTGGTGCCCGGCTGAACAGTTTTTTAAGCAATATTTTGTAGTACGTTTGTAAAGTCCTTTTGTGAGATGACTTTTAACTGTATTATTGCATTGATACATGGGAAGGCATTCAGAAACCTTAGCCATGTTCATACTGGTTTCTGGCTGGCTGTTTCTGAGTCATAGTCTCCATAATGTATTTGTTATTGATGAACAATAATGAGGCCTATGTACCTTGCAATCTCAAAGCCCTGAGTTCAAACTCTAGTACCACCTTAAAAAAAAAATTAGGCCTAAGATTTTTTCTCTCAGATTTTTGTCAACTGCCTTTCTCTTATCTTTTTATTGAGAGATTATTTTTAAAGAAGGTGTATGTAAGTACATTTAGCAGGTAATATAAATACAATGCTAAAATTGTTGTGTAACATTTTTGAACCTTTTACAACCTGTTCATTTTTTTGTGGACTTTCATTTGGGAGGGTGGACACTTGAGCCACACCCCCGTCCCTAAATTTGATTTTTAGTATTGAAAACAGTATTTCTTTCAAGGTACCTATAAAATTCCCTCTTTGGAATTCTCATAGTGGCCTTTAAAAAAAATTGGCAGAGCCTTCAGATGACTTGTTTGTTACCCATCCTCATGTCAGTGAATAGATTTTACTTGCTTTCTTATAGTTGTGCATTTTAAAAGGAGAAAAACATGGACAAAGACAATCATGCTCAGATCCTCTAGTTGTCACAGGCCTTTTCCAGGATGGAAGACCCTCCATGTTGTTGGGTGGGTTGGGTACACCAATGGGAGAAGGAATTGCTCTCCTGTGTATTTGTAGAGAAGAAAGGAACATTGCCAGGTCCCATGTACAGCTCCCTTTCCTCAATGCCCTGTAGCCATAGGATTACTATTTAGGCTACCATGGGGTAGCTCAGGAGCTAAAATGCCTTTCATAGTATTGTTTCTAAAGGAAATGAAGTCAGGCATGGTGGTGCATACCTGTAATGCATTAAGGAGACTGAGGCCGGTTTGAGTTATAATTGTAAGGCCCTGTCTTAAAGAAAAACGAGATAAAAAGACACCTGTTTTCAGTGATGACTCAAGTTAAGTTACTTGAGTAGCTGGTGGGGAGATGACATGGAAGGTTTACCTCACATCATAGAGCACATTTTAGATTAATTGAAAAGTTTTTAAAAAATGAAATATAAAGTGAATATTTTCCTAATCTGTGCATGAGGAAAGGCTTTCCAAACATAGAATCTGCAAAAGTAACCACAAAGGAAGTGGTGGATGCATTGGCAATAGAAACTTATACAGAGAAATAATATAAAATTAGAAAAAACTAGGAGACTCAACTTTTTTTTCTTTTGGTGGGAGGACCACTGAAGCCCTAAGAAAACTGAATAAAATGTGAGTAGGGAATTTTGAAGAAAAATGTGGTTTATAAGTGTGTGAAAACAGGTTATTGATCTAGAGAAATTTGAAATAACAATGAGATGAAGCTAATTGAGTTTCCATCTGTGGACTTGGTGCAGTGGAATGTGTTCTCTCAGTCCTCTTGAGAATGTACATTACTATAAATATTCTGAATCAAACTGATAATACTAATCTATAAAAATTTTCTACCCTTTCCTCACTATTTTCTATGAATGGCTATATAATAATGGAAGAAAAAAATTTTCAAAACTTTTTAATTTTTGCAGTGCCGGGAATGGAATCCAGGCCCTCACACGTGCTAGGCTACATCCTGAAAATTTTAAAATAGGGATTGTATATTGATTGTGGGATTGCAGAAGGTTGCTGTGTATGTAGTTTTTAAAGATTTATCTGGGCACTGATGGCTCATGCTTATAATCCTAGCTATTCAGGAGGCAGAAATCAAGAGGAACACAGTTGGAAGCCTGGGCAAATAGTTTGCGAGACGCTATCGCAAAGAAACCCTTCACAAAAAAGGGCTTGTGGAGTGGCTCAGCGTTTAAGACCCTAAGTTTAAGCCCCAATAGAGGAAAAAAAAAAAAATTTAGCATGGTAAAGTACATTCAACAAAGTTTACATTTTAAAGCATATAGCATTAAGTATGTATACATGGCAGTTAACCAATCTTTAGAACTTTGTCATCTTACAAAGTGAAACTCAATAATAATTGCTCGTTTTCCCCTTACCCCAGTCCCTGACAACCATCTCTGAGTTTAACTAGTCTAGATGCTACATATCATCTTCATTTTCTATGTTATGATAGTCATAATATTTAGATCATGAAAACACTAAGTTTTAAAGGCAGACACTTTTGACATTTGACCTATTTTGAAACTTATGAGTCTATGTTTTTGTTTTCAAAAATTTTTACTATTTTAGACCTCTCAAGCTGGATCAAAAGACAAAAAGATGGACCAACCACCTCAAGCCAAGAAGGCAAAAGTGAAGACCAGTACAGTGGACTTGCCAATTGAGAATCAGCTATTATGGCAGATAGACCGAGAAATGCTCAACTTGTACATCGAAAATGAGGTTGTTAAAGTCTCTTAGAACAGTGAGCTAATAAACTAAGGTGACCATAGTGTTCAGATTCTGTGCCTAGTTATCTCTATCTATTTCTGCTAGTTAGGCTTTGAGAAAATAATTTCGATTATTTTTTTTTTCTTCCTTTTTTTTTGTGGGATAGCAAGGATAAGTTTTAGTAGATCCCATGGTATCAATTTTTTATGATGATACTAACATGATGACTATATGAAGCTGTTGTGAGATTTTTGACAGTGTTGTCTTTGGCTTGGGGGGGTGGGTATTGTTCAGTTTGTGGCATATAAGTGTATTTGTTCACTGCAGATTGGAGTGTTTAAGGTGGTAAGTCATGGGAGCTGATCAGTAGAGAAATAACATACCAACAATGGTAGCACTATTTGAATTGTTTTCTCTTGAGGGTTTTTTCATGTATGCAATTGATCTCAAGATAGTTTTGTTTTACGGGACCTTTAGCATTTAGACTGCATGAATTTTTATTTTTCTTTGATGTATTTTTCAGAATATATCAGCTGACATTGAACCAATAGTTGAAGGTTTTCTTAAATTCTCCTTTATTTTTGCTTTTGAGTGCTACTTTTAATGTTTCCACTGCTCTTTTTTCCTAAACTTACCCACAAAACTCCTTGATCTCCAAAATTTGTTAAGTAGTCTTCCAGCTCCCCTTTATTGGGGTGACTCAACAGAATTCAAAGGATTTTGAGAAGAAAATTTCTCTACTTTTAAATTTTCTTAGTTGGAATTTAAGAGGATATTGTCTTAATTATCTTAATGTTTAACTTGTATTCTCAGGGTAAGATGATCATGCAGGATAAACTGGAGAAAGAACGGAATGATGCTAAGAATGCAGTGGAAGAATATGTGTATGAAATGAGAGACAAGCTTAGTGGTGAATATGAGAAGTTTGTGAATGAAGATGTAAGTGTTTGCCATAGTGTAAGCTGCTTAACTACTAGTGTCTTCTAGGAGCATCTTTAAATGGGTTAGAAGGAACTACATGTGTGTATAATGCAGTTTTCTATTCTGAAATCTTCGAATATAGTGGAGTCCCTTATAGCAAAAAGACTAATAAAACCCACTATACCTGTCAATCAAAAAAGCATTTGCCAGCCTTGTTTTTTTGTATCTTCCATTTCCCTACTGCTATATATTAAGATTAAATCCCAGATAGATCAGTGCAGTCTGTACTTGTGATTGCTTTGGTAATTCATCTTTTTGTTGTTGTTGTTGTTCTTGAAGACAGGGTTGTCTAGAACTTAAGATCCTTCTGCCTCAGTTTTCCAAAGGGCTGGGATTATAATTATACACCACCACACCTGACTTCAACTGATCTTTTATTAACTTGATTACAACATTTTCTTTATTGTTAGGATCGTAACAGTTTTACCTTAAAACTAGAAGATACTGAAAATTGGTTGTATGAAGATGGAGAAGACCAGCCAAAGCAAGTTTATGTAGATAAATTGGCTGAATTAAAAGTAAGTGACTCTTGAGAGCAGAGGTATTCCCAATCTTTGTAGCTTCTATGAAGAGTAGCTTAAAATTGGAGAAATTTTCATGTCACTTAAGAACACAGGCTACAAATGATGTTTTGGAGAAATATACTTTATGACTTATTTTCACTTTAAAGCCTTATAAGCACCAAAATAATTTTTCTAAAAATTTAGTTTTGACTTCCAGTATTATATTGAGTTAAAGATTTACTGTATTCTTGGTATCAAGAAAAACTAGCAAGATGTAATCCCTATCCCAAAGGCACCTGCAATGAAGTTAGTAGTTTGTTTTTTTTGTTTTTTTTGTTTAACCTCTGTGGTAGTTAAATTTGGTAGGCAGGTACTCTACTACTCAACCCTTTTTACTTTAGGCATTTTTCAAATAGGGTCTCAGATTCATGCCTGGGCTGACTTGAACTTCGATCGTTCTCTTTATGCTTCTTATGACACAGAGACATCACTACACCCAGCTCTTTTGCAGGATTGGCCTTGAACTGTGATCTTCTGGATCTTTGCCTCCCAGTAGTTGGAATTACAGGCCAATCTACTGTGCCCAACTGTAGTTTTGATTCCCTCACCCCCGCTACTGGGGTCTGAAATATACCTTGATTCATTCTGCCAGCCCTTTTTTTATGTGATGGGCTTTTTCAAGATAGGGTCCTGCAAACTATTTGTCTTCAAACCATGATCCTTCTGATCTCTGCCTCCTGAGTAGCTAGGATTGTAGGCATGAGCTGTTGGCACCTGGCCTCATTTTGATTCTTGATAAAAGCACAGCACCTGTTTTTGTATGTAAAAAATCTGATTGTTAAACCTTAGGGTTAAAACATAAAGTGCTATCCAAAGTTCGATGTCTTTTGTTTGAAAAAGGATGGAAACACACAGAATGAACTTTGTACATTTCCCTAAGGTTTTGGCTCTGGAGTATTGGGTTTTTCATGAAATTGGATCATTGCAATTACTCTCTTGAGTGGACTGCGTCCCAGGGACAGTGCCTGCAGCTTAGTATCATCCTTGCAAGAACATTCCACATTTGGTTCTACCTATTGTGGTGATTTGTTTTACTATGTCTTCTGAGACATGTTAAACACATGAGAGAATCATAGCTTCAGCCATTAGAGGCATTTTGTTTCATCTCTGTTCCTTCTACTCCCACTTGTTTGAAGCAAGTACCTCATGATTGTGTTGAATCCAAAAATATTTCAGTATGTACTTAAAGAAAATACAACCTCATGCTGTACTATTATCTTACCTAAAAATTCTGTAGTATCACCATAGTATTCAATTTTCAAATTCCATTGTTTCATAAGTGGTTATTTTGTAGTTTGAATCAACATCCAAATAAAGCTCATGCATTTTACTGGTGTATCTATTAAATTGATATCTGTAGTTCTTCTGTTGTGCTTTTCCCATATGTACATGTTGGAGAAACTGGATCATTTATCCTACAGAGTCTTCCCCCCAGTCTGGATTTTGCTGATTTTCATCTTCATAGTAGTATTTAACATTATCTGGTAGAGTGGTGGTTAGTGCTAGAGGTTTCATCAGATTCAGGTGTTATTTTTCAATTAAAAAAATTTATTTTTGATTGGGACCGGTGGCTCATACCTGTAATCCTAGCTACTCAAGAAGCTGAAATCAGGAGGATCAAGGTTTGAGGCCAGTTCAGGCAAGTAGTTTGAGAGACTCCATCTCCAAAATAACCAGAGCCAAATGGACTGGAGGTGTGGCTCAAGTGGTAGAGCACCTGCTTTGTAAGTGCGAAACCCTGATGAGTTCAAATCCCAGTCCTACCAAAAACAGAAAATAACCCCAAAACTTTTTTTAGCAAGTATACTTCATATTTGTTGTGAATCTCTATTAGGTAAGATTTGGTTTTGTCTTCTCTTCTTCCACCCCCTTGTGTTTTGAGAATTGGGGCTTAGGTGAAAAATAGACGTGCTTCCACATGGAACACTGTTGAGATACAGTCTCATATCCAGCTGAGGCAGCCTTATATTTCTGATGGTCTGGAAATTAATTTGTGTGTATGTGTACATATGTGTCATGAAGATTAAATGTACTTTAATCCATAGTTAATCTTTAGCCATAGTAGAAACAGTACAACACTGAAGTTTAAGCTGCTCTGTGAAGAATTACTGTCTTTTCTGTTAAGAATTTAGGTCAGCCTATTAAGACACGGTTCCAGGAATCTGAAGAAAGACCAAAGTTATTTGAAGAACTAGGGAAACAAATCCAACAGTACATGAAAGTAATCAGCTCTTTCAAAAACAAGGTATCTTTTGGGGGGGTCATCGGGGGTCTTTTATTTTGGTAGACTTAAGTTTTGAGGCATTTACATAGCAGTGTTTTGTGTTTTCTTTAACTGTTTAATAATTTTGTTTTCATTTTGAATGTATTGTTTCATAGAATCTTATTAGGAACTATGGGATTGGTACTTTTTTAATAGGTGAAATGTGGAATTAAGTATTGTTTAATTTCCTTTGCTTCCTGTGTTAGACTTAACATGCTCTGTCCTGGTCTTTTTTTGAGCTCGTTAGGCTTGTAATTTGGCTTGTTATGCAGATATAGTATTTTAATAGTAACCTGCTTAATGGTTTTGAGTGCTGTATGGTACACACTTCATAAATATATTATCTCATGGAATTCACATATGCTAGTATCAACATTTGTGGGTAACTTCTACTTTAAGACATACCTAAGTAAGACTATTAAATTGGGACAGCTGGGATTCAGCTTGAAGTTTGACTCCAAAGTTTAGATTCTAACCACTTCACACTGCTCCTGACTTCATAACCCTCCTGCCCTCCAGCAGTGCTGAGGATTAAACCCAGGTCCAGGCAAACACTCTACACCTCCAGCCGTGCTCTAGGTTTTTGGTATATTGTGAGTGTAAGAGACTTAATAAGAAAATTGAGCTGGCTCTTTAAATTAAAAACTGCTTGCATAAGACTTCTTTAATGTATTGTTGTATTATAGTCTTCCAGACTAGCATGCCTAACCTTCATCTGTCTCTAATGAAATATAGCACTTACTACAATGTGAAATTATTTTCGTAAGATTTTATCTGAAATACTTGTACTTATACTGTTGAAGCCTTTTAATTGTTACCATTACATATTTTGTTGGCCTTTAATTTGTGTGTGTGTTTGTGTTTTCCTCTTTTTGTAGCACTGGGGTTTGAACTTGGGGCCTCATACTTGCTAGGCAGGTGCTCTGCCACTTTAGTCATAGCTCTTGGTGGACTTTAAATCTCTTTTCTGAGTGTTTAAAAAACTAGAACTTTAGATGGGCACCGGTGGCTCATGCATGTAATCCTAGCTACTCATGGGGCAGAGATCGGGAGGATCTTGGTTTGAAGCCAGTGGGGCAGATAGTTTGCTAGACCCTTTCTCAAAAAAACCCATCACAAAAGGATGGTGGAGTGGAGTGGTTCAAGGTGTAGGCCCTGAGTTCAAACTCCAGTACCACAAAAAAAACCCAAAAAAAAAACCTTTATTTTCTTTCTTGAATATTTAATATGTATTTAGATCATGAGACTAGATGTGGTTTACTTTTTTTGAAAGATTATAATTTGTTGAAAGATTGGAGGTAAGATTTGGGGAGGGAGAGTTTCATCCCATGACACTTGGCCTTACTGTCTGCTGGTCATAGGAGGACCAGTTTGACCATTTGGATGCTGCTGATGTGACAAAGGTAGAAAAAAGCACGAATGAAGCAATGGAGTGGATGAATAACAAGCTGAATCTGCAGAACAAGCAGAGTCTGACCATGGATCCAGTTGTTAAGACAAAAGAAATTGAAGCTAAAATTAAGGTAATTTATAGCTTTAAATATTTAATGGTCTGTTCTTGTTTGCTTTGTTATTATTAATAGTTTTCAAGGGACATTTAGGAAGGAACTTCTTTATTACATCTTAGCTTCTGGGTTAGAGATTGAGTGGGAAAGGGTGATCATGAGTTTTTCATGTTAATGTAAAATTTGTTAATTTATAAAGAAACCAGAGGGTTTTTTTTTCCATTCTAGGAGCTGACTAGTATTTGTAGTCCTATAATTTCAAAGCCCAAACCCAAAGTGGAACCTCCAAAAGAGGAGCAAAAAAATGCAGAGCAGAATGGACCAGTGGATGGACAAGGAAACAGCCCAGGCCCTCAGGCTGCTGAGCAGGGTGCAGACATAGCTGTGCCTTCAGATGCAGACAAGAAGCTTCCTGAGATGGACATTGATTGATTACAACACTTCTTTATATTAAAACAGACTATTATAAAGCTTTAAGTTGTCAACTTTGTTCTAAATATCAACTAGAGCAAGTGAATACTGGAGATTTCTTAGTCAGTTTTTAGGGGATCTTGGGGGGTGGGGAATATAGGTAATGTATCAAGCATTTTGACTTCTAAATAGTTAGATACAGAAATTAAGTGCATTGTATCTCTTTTCATAATGGTACTATTTAGAAGCCCAGTTAGTTTTACTGAGCTTATGCTTCACTCCTTTTTTGTTTAATTATGCTTCTACAAGAATTATTATTTTTTAAAGAAAGCTAAGCTGTAGCAAAACTATGACTAGCTATCAAGAAGGCTTTTCATTATGACATACACAGTAGGAGCTTGATGTATGCTTCAAAAATCTTTTGCAGAGATTGCCACCAAGGCTGCATGCCTGGTGTGGGGATGGGGGGTGACTGCCTGTGTTTCTGAGTGTTAGAACATGCTCTGGCATGGATTAACATAGGAGAGCAGCACAGGTATGCTCTGAGCATCTGAACACTTCACCCCCACTCCAGCCCTGTTCTCTCCTTCCTCCACCAGCAAATGAGCTCTCATTGTAAATGCCATGTGCTACTCTTGGGAATGTAGACCCCCTCTTTTGGAGCAAGTTGTAAACTGAGCATTTTAGACTTGGGAGCACTTCAAGCTATGTTCACTAATAGCCCAAGCATCAAAATCTTCAAAACGTTTTGAGAAGATTAGAATTGGGGGTAGGTATACTGGTGGGATATAGGCATGGTAAATCTGAGAAATCCATCCTTGTTCATTATGGTGTAAAGATTTGTATCCTGGCCTGTTTGTTCAGGTGGGAGATGTTTTGTGTAAATTTAAGATTTAGCTTGAACTCTTAGAATAAAGAGTTAAAAGTTCTTTTTTAGTTCATTCACAATCACTTGTCTTTTAAGTGTTAGTATCTGTCATGAATCTGCTAATTTGTACTTACACAGCTGACAGATCATAAAAAACTAAGATGCACTGGATTGTATGGGATGAGTCTGAAATTAGTGTTAAAGAAAAGTGGTGCCCAACAATACAGCAACAGCCTATTCTTAAATGTGCAGCCAGTGTCAGGTGTACCAAAGTGTTCCTTGGACTGCTCTTAGAGGCATATTGATAGCAGGGAAGCATTTTGGAAACTTTAAGGGAAGTCTGTATTAGAGGCCAGAGCTGGTTACTTGCCTTAGAAACTTGTTACAAGCTTTGTTGATTGTGTTTTTGATCTTTGTAATAACTGATACTCTGTGTAACAGAGTGCCTCTCTGTTTTGGCCTATGTTGGAAATAATCTTATACCTTCCATAGAACTAAGTTTTTGTCCATCTACACAGAAAGTGTTTAGAGTGTAACACTCTTAAGTGCTATATAGACAGTTCCTTGGAGAGGAGGCAGGGGAGCATGTTTGTGGTGTGAAAGCCATGATGGAAGCTTCCCTAGCCATAGACTTTGTGCCGTAGACCTAGTGTGTCCTCTCTTCTCTCCCTGTTGTGTGTGCTTCAGAACTTCCAGCTGGCCTGCCACGAGGCCAATAGCTATTTGAAATGCTGGCTGCAGGATTAAGCTAACTCTTATGCAACTGACTCAGTCCTTAATGGCCATTTCTTCTAAACATTTGTGGGGGGTGGGTTGTGGGGGAAGGGTTTAGGTGTTGGGATGGGGGTGAATTTGAAGCTTAAAGTTAAAACTAGAAATAAGATGATATGGTCTGTTGCTGTCTGTTTAGACAGGCTGTATGACCAATTAGATTTACATGGAGGCAGATCAGAGAGTAGTAATTCATGACTTGTGTGCAAACAAGCATTTATCCAGGTTGCATTATCCAAATTGGTTTGTTAAAACTCCAGGTCACATTCTTACACTTAGAAAAACATTCAGTAAACATGAGACAAGTTTAGGAAAAACTAATAAAATAAACCTGTCTTAAACTCAAAGGAATGGTTTTCTTAATTTCCTAATGCAGTCTGCTGTGCGTGCATGTGCATGTGTGTGAGAGACAGAGTTACAGATGAAAAATTTTCTACTTAGCTGCATTCCATTTAACTTGTTGGAGCCCTCCAGGCAGGAGAACAATCTAGGCCTTGCCTACTGGGCGATGAATTTTTCTTTCCCAGTACTCACCCTCCCAGTCTTGGCCCAGTTCCTCTGATGTAGGAATCCCTATCTTGTTCCTGTGAGGGTTTGGCTAACAGCAGGAAGTAGATGATGGTGCATTAAGGTAAGTGCCAGAATTGATACTGCCAGAACAGGACATGGCCAGAGTGCTAGAACAATGATGTGATTGTGTGTGGAATGTGTGTTGGTGAGTAGGGTGCTGATGGATGTGGAAAGGGACTAAAGTCATTAGAAGAAACCTTAGCTGCCCAAGGCCTGGAGCCTCAATGGGGAGGGGTCAGGTGCCTTATTCCCTGGTCATTCACCCACTTTTTTTTTTGTGTGACTGGGGTTCATGCTCGTGAAGCAAGTCACTAACACTTGAACCACATCTCTGATCCATTTTGCGCCGGTTATTCTGAAGATGGGGTCTTGGGAAGTATTTGCCCAGACTAACCTCTCCACAATCCTGTTCTCAGCCTCCCAGGTAATTGGGATTACAGGCGTGAACTACTGTCACCCAGCTTGGTCATTCCTGTTACATGGTCCTGGTCCTATGGCTTTCCTGGGTGTAACTCACTCCCAATGCCTGGTCCAACCATGTGTCTTAAATGTGCCCCTGTAGTGGGTTTGGTTTTCTCTTCCATCTGTCCTGAGGGAAGAGTGACCTCTGGTTGGAGGCATGGGAAGCCTAGGTAGCAATGGGCCAAAGCATACCTGTCTTACAGGTGTTTGTGAACTACTTGGAAAGAAGAATGGCCCTGTTTATTGGGGGCACTGGTATGTTTGCATGGCACTGCAAAAGAGTGTTGGCAAAATCAAGGCTGGTGTGAAAGTTTCTAGTGGGGGGTCTCTGGATGTGTGTGAAGAACTCTTAAGGAGCTCCCATTTCAAAAGACGGATCTGAGTGTTCTTTAGGGGCTTGAACTCAGTAAGGCCAAAGGTGTCCAATCACTTGGCCAAGAAGTTTGGCTTGGTGGAAATGGGCCAGAAGAAAGGAGAGAGGTTGGGGAGCACTCTGTGTCTATGGGTGAATGTAAATGGGGATGGTTCTCACCAGTCATCTGGAGTCTTGGAATCACCAGTGCAGTCTTTAGATGGTCCTTGTCTGGAGCAGCCGTGGGATATGGCCCTGAAACACAAATGCTGCTGCCTTTGTGATTTGGATGCTGCTATTTGGAGCAGATGATGCAGGCATAGAAATGAATAACATGACTTCTTATGCATCAGTTCACAAGGTGAAATGGGAAAGGTGCCCAAATTAGGAGCAACACCTCTGGGAGGATAAGGGAGGGTTTTTGTCTAGGTAGTCAGGGAGACCCCAGATGACATTTGTGGAAGTACAGTCTGGGGCCATGGCTCATTCCTGTAATCCTAGCTACTCAGGAGGCAGAGATCAGGAGGATTGTGGTTTGAAGGCCAGCCTGGGCACAATAGAGATCCTGTCTCAAAAATAGCCAACACAAAACAGCTGTCAGAGTGGCTCAAGTGGTAGAGCACCCGCCTAGCAAGTGTGAGGTCCTAGGTTCAAACCTCAGTACCGAAGGAAAAAATGGACCAGGTGCTGTAGCTCACCCCTGTAAAGCCAGCTACTTGGGAGGCAGATTGGGAGGATAGAAATTCAAGGCTAACTCAGACAAAAAGTGAGATCCCATTTTACAACTAACGGGAGTGTGATGGTTTGTGCTCTGTGATCCCAGCTAAAAGGGACACTAGGTAGAAGGATATGGTCTGAACTCTTAAGACCCTATCTAAAAACTAAAGCAAAAAGGTTGGGGGCATAGCTCAAGTGGTGTAGTGCCTGACAAGCAAGCTTGGATCCCCATGACTGAAAAGTTTTCTAGATTTGCCCAATACCCATGGGCAAGTAACAGGCCAATCCAGATCTTGACAGTTCAGGTTTGGCACCTGTTGGAAGGACAGGGAAAATAGAGGGACATTTACTTCCAACCGCTCTGGAATTTGTAAGGTTCCAGCATAACACATAGAAAATAAAAGAATATAGAAAGCTGTTTGTCTTGGATCTTTTCCACTAGTCCATGCCCAGGCTTACAGCCTTTGAGGACCAGGTGTTTTGTTAGATTTGGAGTCTTGGATCAATGATTGGAGCCAAAGAGAACATTTAAACAGAGTTTTCTTTTTCTTGGGAGTCTGTGGGGTGGGGGAGGTGGGGGGTTGTGGGTGGGGAGCATGCAGTACTGGCATTTGAATTTAGGACCTTAAGCTTGCTAGGCAGGTACTCTTCCACTTCAGTTACCCTGCCAGTCCTTTTTTGTGTTGGGTATTTTCCAGATAGGGTCTCACAAACTATTTGACCAGACTGGTTTTGAACCGCAATCCCGATCTCTGCCTCCTGAGTATCTAGGATTACAGGAGGGAGCCACTGGTGTCCAGCTAAATAACTTTTCTTCTTACAAGTTAGCACCCACCACATACTGCAGGTCTAAACATTGTTTTTTCTTATATGCACTTAAAAAAATTAACTTTGTGGGGGAGGTGGCCCAAACAATGTATACACATGTGAGTAAATGTGAAAACAAAATAATAAAACTTACTTTAAAACACTGGTCTACTATTTAGGTTTGGCTGATGTTCAGGAAAGAAAGCTGGGATCACTTGAAAGACCATCTCAGTGGCTCAGCCTCTAGGATGTACATCCCAACCAAGTATTCCGAGGTGAGCTGCGTCAGATGTGCCAGAAAGGGCTTGGCCCAGCCTTGCCAGTGAATATTTCTAGGACCTGAGTGATGTTGACATGAGGAGTAGATGATCTGCATAGGATAGGACTTGGAAAATTGGGGGAGGGGCATGCAGTGGTCAGGGAAAGCCCTGGTTGGGTGAAGGGCCTTTCCTCTGTGACTAGTTCTGTCCTGTTTTCTTCTGCATCCGTAACTGAAGGATAGACCACCTAGTTTCCAACTGTCTCCTGCAGTCTGGAATGGAGAATATGCTCAGAGTACTTGAATGGAGAAATGCAATGTTCAGTGAGGAAAAAATGTTAAAACTCTTGTTGAAATCATCTTATCTCATCCTCCATTTCCTGGGTGAGGAAAGGTCCCAAGCAGGTGAACATCACAAAGCAGGTAGATGGCAGAGTCAGGAACCCTTATGCCACCTTGTTTCAAAAACATTGTTACCTTTCTGGAAAGTTGGGTTCCTGGAACAAGGCTGTGCTTTCCAAAAATTCACCTAAATATAGCTTTTATACTAGTCTCTCCTTATCTGTGGGGGATGCATTCCAAGACCCAGTGATTGCTATAGGGTTTGGATAGTACCAAACCCTATAGGTACTATATTTTCTTCCTTTGAATCCATACCTGTGATAAAATTCAACAAATTAGGAGTAGTAAGAGATTAACAACACTGAGTACATTTTACAACCTTGATGGCTACTGCTTTACAGACAGGTAGTGAATACAGCATGCATACAATGGACAAAGGGATGTCATTTCCTGGGCAGGACTGAGCAGGACAGCATGAGATTTCACCACACTACTCAATGGTGTGCGATTTAAAATTCATGAATTTTTCAGCTTATTTCTGGAATTTTCCACTTAATATTTTCAAACTATGGCTGACTGTGGATAACTGAAATTGGAATTTGAAACCATGGGTGAGCCGGACTCACCCAAGTATTTGGAGTGGCATTCATTCCCCAAGAATTCAATATCCCCCCCTGGAGCCAGCTCTGATTTAATAATCTTTGGTGAGGTGTAGTGTTATTGCTTTCCTGCTGGGTGCCATTGTCCTTCCTTTGCCTTAATTGTTGGTGTGCAGATCAGAGTCAGCACACAGTTCAGACTTCATGAAGGAACCTGAGAAATTTGGAAAAGAAAGTCAAAACAGGTGTGGCTTAACAGAATCCTCAAGCTAGAAAATGCTTTTGCCACTAACTTCATGACCACCCAAATTGTAGCATCACTGGGTGAAAAAAGAATGTGGGGGCTCAAGTGGTAGAGCACCTGTAGCAAGCATGAATCCCTGAGTTCAAACCCCAGGGCGGACAAAAAAAAAAAAATCTTGGACTGCACTCAGGCCTGGGGTAGTCACTCAGCCGAGTGCTTCTCACAGTGGCCAGAATCTTGTTAAAGTGCATGTCTGACTCAGCAGCTCTCAGTAGAGCCTGAGAGTGTAATTTCTCACAAGTGCCCAGGTGTTGCTGGTCACATAGGGCATTTTGATGGGGAACCTCAGGATCCTCGGTTTCCATCTGTAGATTGGGGTAGCACCAGTCCTGTCATCACGGGAGATGGTGGAGGTAGAAGGTGTTGATGGAAGTATTAACCCTAGTCATGTGACTTACTCTTTGAAAAGCAGAGTGGCTGCTCCAGGCATAATGAGTCCTAGTGATCGCAGCTTCCAGGGCTGCAGAGAAACCTTCCTTCTTGTCCTTCCCAGGCCAGGACCCAGGCTCCAGAAGAACAATGTTGAAGGGCAAACACAGACGCTCCACCCTTCTCCAGTGTGGCATGGTCTTTAGTCACTGGGTCAGAGAGAGTGTTGCTTCCTGCCC